AGCTGCCTGCCCATCTCCCCCCAGCCCCCTGCTGAAAGACTGCCCACCCCTCTGCAGCTAGCCCAGAAGCTGCCATGCCCTGGCTGCTGGTCCCCCCTACCCCAGCTCCCTCTACCCTGAAAAAATCAGAAAGACTCACTCACCTCCGCCTGCAGTCTCCGAGCTGCAGTAGGGGCAGGGGAAACAGCCGATAGGCAGGACGTCACACCAAACAGCTGAGTGGCTGCAGCCAGCCAAAGAGCTGATGAGGGCTGCTGCAGCATGCTAAATAGCTAATTAGCTAATTGACCATTACCAACAGCTGATCTCCCCAGGCGTGCTAAGCAGCCTCCTCCCCCCTCTGAGCCTGCAGCAGGGGAGGAGCAGCCTTCCCAGATGGAACTCAGGCATGATTAGGGTGTGACTGGGCACACCCTGTGTGCACACCTATGATAAAGGAGCTATGTTCTTTAGCCTTTGGCAAAAGAAAATGAGACATACAGAAACCATGCTGCAAGAGCAGATCCAATCCGCTACTGTTCTACCCTAATTTTACCTTGAGTTTGTAAAGAGATTAAATCAGGTTACTGAATATGACTTTGATAAACCATTTCTGTTTTACACCAATACAGCTTCTAACCCAATACTAGCTGTAGTGAGACAGAACCAAGGATTGCAGGGGGGGGGGGGCGCGCTCTTGGGATGTAGTCAGTGGATGTTGGTGTCATCCCTTCCTGCATCAGTTTGGTGTTGGGGGTGTGACATTATTGATATAATCTGGTACCATATAGATCATTGATGCAACCAAGGTCCTGTAGAGGCACTAAATCTGGTATAAAGGAGGTCAAATAAGGTTTAAGACAAGGTAATGGTTTGCTGGTTATGATTGTGCTATCTAGATGCATACATCATTGTTGGATTTAAATGTACAAGTATTGGCTCTATACAGTCCATATTTCAAAATTATGCTGTGCTTCTGGGTGACACCCCAGACAAGTTGGTGTTAGCTCTGCCTAGCCTGCTCGATGACTCATTAAGGACCATCAGCTATACAACTGACCCATTGAGAGAAGGCATATGCCTTGTAACTCAGCAAAGTATGCAGGGACTTTCCCTTGTGACTCCAGACTCCATTGTGCTGGAATTTTCCACAGTAAGGACAAGAAGTGTTCTTAAACCTGGAAAAAGGACTATAAGAGGCGGATGCCTCATTTCCATCTGGTCTTCAATCCACCTTCTTACCTCTGGAGGGACTTTGCTACAAATGGAAGCTCTACACAAAGGACTGATGATGCAACCCAGCTGGGGATGTACTCCAGAGACTTGATTTGAACCTGCAGTTTAGTCTATCATGGCAACAAGCCTGAACCAAGACCTTTGCCATTACTGTATGTAATTGATTCTATTTAACAACTTCTCGCTCTCTCATCTATATCTTTTTCCTTTTATGAATAAACATTTAGATTCTCAAGGATTGGCAACAGCATGATTTGTGGGTAAGATCTGATTTGTAGCTTGACCTTGGTCCTTTGGGATCAAGAGAAACTTTATTCTTTTACTGGGGTATTGGTTTTCATAACCATTTGTCCCCATAACGAGTGGCACTTTCATACTGGGAAACTGGAGTGTCTAAGGGAACTGCTTGTGACTTGTGGTTAGCCAGTGGGGCGAGACCAAAGTCCTTTGTCTGGATGGTTTGCCCTAGAGGTAGACCAACCCCAGCCTTGGGCTGCAACTGCCCTATTTGAAGCAATTTGTCCTTAATTGGCACTCAGTTGGGTCCTGCCAGAACCAGCATAGTTACACAAGTATTTACCCCACCTGTTGTTCCTGGGAAGCGCCCCAGAAATCAACCATGTTCTCTCCTTTTGAGTTCTTGGATGGGAGGAGAGTGAAGGGACCTATGGACTTGTTGAGGGACAAATGGGAGGGGAAGGCCTCCCCCCATGGGGGAGGGGGGGGAAAACCCACACATACAAATACCACAAAAAACCTCCACTTCTGGTTATGTACTGACTTTTGAGGAAAAGCTCGCTGAGCTCATGGACTTGGCCAGGGAGAATTTAGCTAGGGCCCCAAGGGAAGCAAAAGGTCCGGTACAACTGCTCAGTGCATGCCCACTCCTATACTACTGGGGACCAGGTGACAGCTCCCATTCCCTTAAGAATGGAACTACAGACTGCTTAGGAGGGCCCTTTAAGGTCATCAAGCAGCTAAATAAGGTAAACTATGTAGCAAAACCCTTGCGGCCCGAGTCGGGTGCCAGCACCATGAGAGTTCATGAAAATGTTACATTTCTTCTGGAACTATTAGATCCTCAATAGCTGAACACATCTTTATGAAACTTATTCAACCTAATAGCCATACTGGGTCAGACCAAAGGTCCATCTAGCCCAGTACCCTGTCTTCCAACAGTGGCCAATGCCAGGTGCTTCAGAGGGAATGAAGAGAATAGGTAATCATCATGCGATCCACCCCATCAAACATTCCCAGCTTCGGGCAAACAGGCTAGGGACACCATCCCTCTTTCCAACAAATTTTGCAATTTAAAGCAGATTTACCCAGTCCCTTAATGGTCATCACAAATACACATGTACATATGCTGGACATAGACATTCAGTAGAAATGTAAAAGTGATTTACTTCTCTTTCTTGTAGACTCTCTGGGACAAATGTTTAACAGACCTCCCTTAAGGCTTCCTCAACATTTGTAGGCAGATTTATTCGCATGGTAAATTGGTCAGTTACATGTAGTTTCTGGATTTGCCTAAGACTTTGTGCAAGTGCTGAGGTTTGGCCCTAAAAGATCTGTTAGCTAGCACTCAGACAGGAAACTAAAACCTACTTCTAAAGCAGATAGGTAATTTATTTACTGGCTTTGAAATATTGGCTCCACCTCAGTATCTACTGCCTGTCCATTAGTCCTTCCCAGAAGGTCAGTAAGAGTAATATCCACTTTTATAAATAGGATATTTGCATGCCAAGAAAGGACACCATCAAGGTGAGTTGTCCTAACTCCCAACAACAAGTTATCATGTGCATGTTAAATTGAGGGGAAAACAATCGGTAAAGAAACAGATTTGTGTTTTATACTTCCAGGTATGCACAACAGAAGCAGGAAACCACCACCCTGCCCATCCCAGATGAAGCCCTGGCTGCAGCAATACATGCTCTTACCTTCCACTCTACTGCCTCAATCAGTCCAATCTAGATGAAGCTTCAACTGGTCCAGCATGATGGACAAACTCCAGACAGGATTACCTTGGCAACAGCTTATTAGGCCACATTCAACACACTGCAGTGTCTCCCCATTACAGGATTTGCTTTGCCATCCTAGCCCTAATCTATAAAGCCCCAATAATGTGAGCTAGATCGGGGGGTCTCTGCAACCCTTCAAGAATACACCAATTCACACAAGAAATATAACTGACAGAGCTTGGAGGGGGGGAAAAAACAAAAACACCCCGCCCCCCCGGCCACACACACAAGTTACACTTCTCTGGAGCCGAGAGCCCTTGCCTGTGGAGCATCCGTCTGCTAGCGATCAGGAAGAACCCATATATTTTACAAAATAAAATGCTGGAACATCCTTGAAGGCCTGCCCCCAATAGAGGACACGGGGGCAAACTTCAAAATGTGTCCCATTCTATGAATACATCCCATAGGGCTCATTTTCTATACAGCAATGAACAATTTTACCATTATTTAAAAAAATGGTATTAGCCACCTATATAGAGTACTACAGTGATGGTTATTTTAGTCTTGGCTAGGGTAGATACATACTCTGCAGCAGTTGGACATGGCACCAGCTGCACAATTACCTAGTGCTTCTATTTTGTGAATTACACTGGGGGAAGAAGAGAATGTGATCCTTCATATGGAGAATCACAGCTTGCTATGCCAGTGAGCAAATGAGTCAGGTGATCTCAGGTTCCTGTGCACATACGCAAAGGGCACATGCATGTATACAAGCAAACTAATGTCTGCATGAATATGTTCTGCTTCACCCCAACCCCCCCTACTTCTTTTTGCTGTCCAGCATCTTGAGACACACACACACACACAAACAATGCTGAACCATGCAGGTCAGGACTGCAGACTGGTAGTGATATAGCATAGTGATTATAAAGCATATAATTACAGGAAAATTAAAGTTACAGTTTTTGAAGGGAGTAGCCCAATCAGGGCTAATGAAACAGAGTCAATTAGCCAGACATGCATACCTGGTTGGATGGTCTCTACACTATGCAGTTTAAGACCCTCTATCAACACTTTCCAGGGCTTGGAATTTATACCTGGGAAGAGGAAGCGTTCTGATCTTAGGTTGAAATAATCCTGGGAAATGTAGTTCAGCAAGGGACTACAATCATTTGTATTAGATGAATTGCAGCATCAAGTCTGTTCTATTATCCTGAGCTACATGGTCTCAGAACTACTCTACCATAAAAGATCCCACAGACCTTCTGCCTTTGAAGGACATAATTAGCATACTGACAAACATTTAGCATCAGATTTTCAAAAGGCTAGAATGGTGGAAGTTGGCAGGTATGGAGTACTTTTGAAAGTCTGGCCACTTCACTAAAATGCCCAAAGGGGAACTGAGCTCTTGAAAATGTGGCAACAAGGGATCAATTCTGCTACAGCAGACACTTAGTATCTTATTCAAAAAGAAGAACAGGAGTACTTGTGGCACCTTAGAGACTAACAAATTTAAAACAAGTATCTTATTAGTAAAGTTCCCCCTGATTTCAGTGCAATGACTCATGGTATGAAAGTCCTGCTCACTGACAGTAAAGGAGAGAGGAAGCCAGCCCTTAATGCACAGAATGGGCCTTTTCTAGTGTGGAGTTTATTTATTGTTCCATTACAGCACAATCTATGTGGAATTTAAAAACAAACAAACAAAAAACCCAAAAATCAAACAACCCACAACCAAATTTGGGCTAGGCCAGGAGCTAAGTAAATTCAAATCTTAGCAGTACAATTATTTATATGACTTACCAGCAATATGTATCCCATCCAAAAAAGAAGTATCAAGTAGGTAATCTTTGATTTCAGTTTGTATGAAATTTCTTCCAAAGGACCTGGGGAATATGGAAGTAAAATTTTCAAAAGCAAGTGCAACCTGGAGTGATTCCTCCCCCCCAATCTTAACCTTGTATCCAATATGGACAAAGTAAATCACTTCATGTTACCCATCTGCAGAAGGGATTCTTTCAGCAGCAAGTTGTCTGACAGCACATGTACTCACGCAATATAAAAGTAGCTAAGGACAGTCAATCATTTACCATTTGTCAAAGGTGCTATCAGCTAGATGTAGACTAGGGCTGAGATATAGTGCTTGCCATGAGATATAGGAAAAGAGAGAGTGGAGTAGGAAAACTACTAAAATGTATTTGTTTCAGATATACTACAGTTAAAGAAATGTAAGAAAGAAAAGCATTGTAACAGGGTTTACTCACCACCATACACTTCCTCATGGCCAGGCATGGCATCACAGTGTCCTTGTGGGGTAGCAGCCCCTTATCAACAGTCACTCTGGAGCTGTGGTGGTTTCTTTCAGATAACTCATCCCTCCAGGGCACAGTCTTTAGCCCATTCCTTTGAGGGTCAGCTATCCAAACTAAAGTTCAAAATTATCTTAAAGAAATAAAAAGCTTCCAGCCCCTCCACAGCTCTTCTTCAGCAAGGTCACATTCAGACTGCAGCCCCCCCCCTCACTAGACTCAACTACCCTTGTACACTGCTTCCTTGGGGCTAGTAGGGGAATCCAGTCCCAACCTCAATTCTGGGTTACAGCCCAGGGCCCTGTACTGCACAGCTAAGTCAAATCATCTACCCATATTGCAGTTTTCCCTGCACCATTTCCTTCCTTACCTCTTTCCTTCCCTTCTAGGTCTCCCAATCTGTTCCCTGAGTACTTACTCAAGGCCCTGCAGGCACCTTTTGACTCCCTGCATTCTCTTTTCTCCAGCCCTTCCTCAGCTGGGCCCACTCAGTAGTTAAACCTGAAATCACCTAATTTCTCTCAGGTGGGGCCTATTCTGTAATCAGGGCTGGCTTCCTCGGGGACTCTTTATTATTATCTCAGAGCTCTGGATGATCTCTGAGAGTTGGTCTCTCTCTCTCTCTCTCTCTCTCTATATGAATTTTATTGTCAGGCTTTGGTTCTGATCCTCTTACACCAATCACTGTAACTGACTTCTACTCTGGGTTATCTGTTTTCTTTTCATGATATTGGGCCAGCCAATGGTGCCATGCTGCA